ATCACGCATTACCATGACAATATATTCATTTGAAATTAAAGAGATGCGATGAACATCAGACAGAAATGGATTGTGGCAATGTTTTTCTGATATGGTGGATGAGACTCATTTGACATGGTTTTTGGCCGTTTGATAGTCGGGGTGTAACTGTTTGTTTTGCTCACTTGTTTCTTTAGTTTTCCCTTCATCGTGGCTATTGTGCTTGCATATTTAATTAGCATAAAAGTCCTCTCTGGTTCCAGGCGGCTGTACATGTACAACTATAAATGACCCAAATGAACTGACAGCCTGACACAATGCTGTACGTATTACATAAATAAACATCAGACTACACCAGTCACATAAGCTAAAAATAAAAATAAACATCACCAGTGAGTGGCACTAAAATTGCGAAGATTAAGTCACCTAAACTATTTGAAATGAAATTATCTAAATATTTAGAAGATAAATGAACAGTTGCAAACACTGTCTTGTTACTTCATAGAAGGCATATGAGAACGGATTTGTATCGATATGGCGAACTGAATTCAACATTGTTTTTCTTTTAAACCAATTATTGAAAACATTCTGTAAAAAACATTTATGAAATGGACACAGATTGACAACAATTTAATGCGAAAATTATTTAAATATATTTTTTATAACTGTTTTTGTTAAAAAAACATATTTTTAGTGCATTTTTTTTGTTCCTTTCTACAAATACTTGAAATAGTACAATAACGTCATTTTGAAGGGCAATATAGTGAAAAACCGAGGGCCAATCCTTTACATGTTTCTTATATGTTTGTCCCAAACTGACCTGAATTCTGGAATTTGATTTACGCATCTTGAATTTGACAGTTTTTATCTGGATCATGGTATGTATTGAGAATATCATATCAATGCTTATACCATACGCTTTAGGAAGTTCAATTAAACCCATCGAACCATTTCAAAAACATCCCCGTAATTATATTATTTCTTCCTTTACAACAGATTATCACGTCGGTGTGTGAAATATTCGGATTGTATTTTCAGATGCGATATATTATATTACGCCTAGGTTCATGACTTTATTTCAATAACTCGAACTCGATACAATACCCTCTATACTTTCTAAGAGATGTTCTCACATCATAACTAAGATGAGAGGTTGCCCTAGTAACCCCAGCTGAGGTTACGTATCCTTCGAGTTTATCTATCTTTAAACATTTTTCACACTCTATCCTTAAAAGCTAGAATCAGAACTAGTCACTTCAAACGCTGGTATCATTTATATTCCAAGAAAAACTAGTTTAATGTATTACATTGAACGAAATGGGCATATGAATGAATAACCGGGATATCAATACATCCGATTATTTGCTTTCATATAAATGTCATGTTGTAAGAGAAGGTCTCATTAAATTTGAGTAATGTTGATCGTCTATCTATCAACTATTTTCAGATACTTTTACAAATAAACAAAATTGATCGACATGTTTACAAAGATGTTATTTTCTTGTAAACGAGCATTTTTCAGTGGCCAACGTGTGTTTTCGACCAACATTTTATTTGACCATTTACCACCTAAAATATGTTGTTTACCCGCAAACAGTTGCAAGCAATAAATAATAAAAACAATTAAGTTGTGGATTTCTCCACGTTGCACTATTATTCTACAATTATTTTCGTATGTTCTTCAATGTTTATATCGTGATGGTCGTTTGGACCCAAGATATTAGTTTTTTGTTTGTTTGTTTGTTTGTTTGTTTGTTTGCTCGATTGGCATCATTCAATTATTAAGGATTTAAGCCTTGGATTCAGTGCTTTGTTGACTGAATCATTCCACGGAGGTGTTGTTTCCAAATCTGCATGACCCCGCAGAGGGAATACAAAGTTTAGGATACAACGCCTGAGCATTGCACAATATTTTCTACGAACTTACCCAAATGATACGAAGTACACTAAAAAGAATATTTTCAATGAAACTCTTTGTATGGGTTAAGTTGGCAAAGCATCAATTACAATCTATAAAGTCAAGTTGTCATCATTGAAAACCATTCAAAGAATGACCTTGGAAAGTAGATTTCTCACAAATAATCTTTAGTTTACAGCGTTTACTTATAGTCCGTTACTTTGACCACATCGCAGCATGTAATATGCCATTAGGCCATAAGAAGTAGATTCTTTGTTTTGCGTCCCCTTGCTTGCACGATTTGGAGTAAATCAGAAAAAACAAACACATCCAAATAACAATCACAAGGGTCTGAAAGTATCATCGCATCTTGTTCAATCAGAATCAGACGATATAACGGATAATTTGGCGTGTATCAAAATATAGATATGTGTTTGTAATCACTGCAAATTGGTATGTCATCCCTTTTTATGCCCATAAAAAGTATACATTCCTCAGCAAACAAGTTTGTGTTTTTTCTTGGGTTTGTGTTTGTTTTCCTTGTACCCTTGCATGATTTTGAATTTGCCAGGACGCAAAACAAAGAATCTACTTCTTATGGCCTTACTAGTTATATAACTGTTTTTTCTAAGATACATAATTCAAACAAGTTCGTTTCGCAAGATATTTGGAGCTAATGTATGTATGACATGCATCATTTTTTCTCTATATGCACAGAGAACTATTTACGTATGATTTGTATCGTTTTTAGTGTTCTTTTATAAACATTAAAAACGATACAGATCATATGTAAATATTTTTCCGTGGTGTAATGATTCACGTTGACACCAACGCGAAATTGCAAATCTCCCGCTCTAAACACGAAACTGAAGCTGATCGTGTGTCTGAAGTAGACTAATTGTACAGGGTGGTCCAAAAAATGGGACACTCGTATTTCAAAAATAAATATTGATTTTCTTGAGGAAAACATGTCATATTATATACCAGTGGATAGGGAATTTACTTATTTTAATTTGGTATATCATGAGTTCAAATTTATTATAATGTCTGTCAACCAGCGTCCATAATATAAATGACGTCATTTTCGTTTCAAAATAGGTTTTCCGAAACTTGCAAAAACCAAGTTTTTTGTCAACTTGATTTGCATAAACGGACGCTAATATGTTCACCATTTTAATCAATTATAGTCCTAAATCATTGCCTAAACTGGTCAAATGCATCATTGACATGCTGTTGAGACAGTGAATTCAACTTCTCAATAATTCTCTCCTTAAGGGACGGAGTAGATGTAAGGGCTTCATCGTAAACCAATTCTGTTAGTTCTCGGTAGTTGCAGGCGTTGACATCCGATTTTCCAATTATGTTGTTTTTGGACCATCCTGATATGAGCTCATTTTCGAATCATTACATTTTCCAACAAGATGGGGCTCCAAGCAATAGATCTCACAAGAGTATCAAATGTTTAAGGAAAATGTGCCTAGATTCATCCCCCTTAATCACTGCCGCGCCCAGATCACCCGATTGCCCAACATCTGCGACTGCCACGTATAGTATGGGAAGGACTGGCAGAATTGGTATACCATAAATCCTTAAGATCTATTAAGTCCCTTAAGGACAGAATTATTGAGAAGTGAAATTCATTGTCTCAACAGCATATCAATTTAGGCCAAATTTGAGGGCTACAATTGATCAAAATGGTGGACATATCTGTTTATGTAAATAAAAACTTGGTTTTTGCTAGTTTTGAAACGAAAATGATGTCATTTATATTATGGACGCTGGTTGACACTTGACAGACATTATAATAAATTTGAACTTGTGATATACCAAATTAAAGATGAGTAAATTCCCTATCCACTGGTATATAATATGACATGTTTTCATGAAGACATCAATATTATTTTCGAAATACGAGTGTCCCATTTTTTTGGACCACCTTGTATAAGCGCTTGTTTTGTATGCGCGCCATATGCATTACTGTATTGATTCATGGACTTTGCAATAGCGTTCACGGTTACGTTGTGACAATCGCCTGCTTAAAGTCTCCAATGTTTAAAAATGCGCATGAAAAATAAAACGTCTGGTAAATTCAACATATGATCTGGTCTTAGGTAAATGTTAACGTATAGACGTGAACTTTGTTCAGAGTCAATTTGTTAGTAATTTATACGTTGATATGCTGGTAAGTTCAGGTGAGCTCAGGTAACCTATTTGCACATAATTCTAACAATGTTTCATTGAGATATTCATTCGAAGAAATCGTCGTGCATTTTGTTCATGATCTTGGACTCTTTATCTGTGTTTCGTATCAGCAACAGAAAACAAAATATGAAATTTTAACGAAAACTCGTTCACTTTAGTGTTGAACATTTGCATTTAATTGCCTGCTCGCCCTTGACTGTTCATGGCTTACTCTATCGCTATTTTCAGAATATTCTCGAAGAAGTACAAAAGTAATGAGTCGTTGCTTAGAAAGATGTAAGAATATAAAACTTTTGAATGTGTGAACACTTTGTATATAACCTTTGTGCTAACTTACTTTATCTTATTCTTTCATATATACATATCATTATCATCAAGTATAGAAGACGATATAATAAAAACATATGTTGTGAACGCTGAAATTTGTCAAACAGAAACCCACAAATATAAAAAGATGCATTCTGATACTCATAGCATCTTTCTGTTTCACCTGAAACATCTCAGGGCTGAGAAGAAATGAGATGTCATGGTATATCATGATGAAAAAGATGAGAAACATAAGAAAGCGCAGAAGCCATTAGTAACTGTTGCTAAGTAATTTTATTTTATTGGAGTTTTGCATGTAAATTAACTTTATTTTGGCTGCATAGTGCCATTTATTGATAGAAACTTGCAAGCATTTACGTTTTCATAGTTCCACACGATCAACATGACACTGGTAGATTGACATAGATCAACATGACGTCGGTAGATTGACATATCAAAACAATTAATTAATTCAACAATCGGGTTGAGAAGGAATGCATTCTGTCTGAAAACTTTTTAGAAGGCAATGAAAAATACGCATAGGAACGATATATTATATAAAGATATATGAACAAAATGTCGTTCGAAAAAACGCTAAAACAAATCTTTTACTTACTTTCAAACTTTTCGCGCGTTCTTTCTTTGAACTCTCCATCGGGGGTTTTGTAAACGTGCTTGGTTCGCGCCCAGGTGTGGTGTATTTGTCCAAACAGGATACACAATACGATAATCTGAAGCTTGGAGAAATGCTTCACACCACTGATCATCCTAAATATCATTGTTGTGTAACTCAAAACGAACTTGTAGATTTTGTTAGAATTGTTATACTACATAGTAAAGTCCATTACCGAATGTTATGATTCGCAAGCGTTAGAGTAAGAAACCAGCACCAGCTTTTACTGCAGCTTCCGATTGGAGAATTGCTGCAGAGGGGTGGTAGCATAGCTTCTATCTCTTACAATTCTAGCCACTTAGCATGCTTATAGAGTCAGAAACACCACTTGAGAATTGTTACAAAACCAAGTAGCTTGATTTAAGAAAATTTAAGGTAAACGTACAAGTAATCAAAACGATGACATGTCAAAATAAAATTAAGTTAATTGTGCCAGGTTTCTAATATGGGGTGACTGGCCGACCCTTTTCCATTTGAAGTTGAATTCCAGTATCCGATCAACTTGACTTCTCATGACACACTCTATTAACCAACTGCATCGCGAGTAACTTCATCCCGATCTGTAGGGTTTAATCCGACAAACGTAGCTAACAAACGTTAAATTGAAAGTCACCTTTGACCACAATTTATTAAAGCAAAATAACATGCAGACTTGGATATGCAATTTTATTAATGAGTAACACGATCAGGCTCAAAATATGAAAGCAGTTCAATGTTTTCGTTAGTTAATCTTTAACGGGATATTCTGTAGATACAAAAATAGGAAAGCTGTATCCAAATATTTTACGGCTCTATACTTTATACATATCTGCTAATGTTTTACCTATTCTTTATGCCAAATGCCAGTGTTTACTGTTATGGTATGATAATAGTATGGTATGTACTACTTCAGTAAAATGATTAAATAAAAAATTGTAATGTAATAATTATTGATCTACTTTCATTTCAAATGACCGCTAAAACAGATGATATCTTTATAAGTGGTAAATCATCACGGAGTGCTCTTACAAAAAATATGTCAACGTTCAATACAATTGTGACGGCCACCTTACAGAAATTAAAATTCAAAATGGCAGCCCCCGTTAGGATTTCTCTATATCTCTTGAAAACTATATCAAAACACGTGGCAATATTAAATAATCAGGAGTTGATCGGCTGTTTATGCCTCACAAATAAAGTTCCGGTTTACTACTTCTTCACCCCATGCAGACAGATCGACTAAAATTACATTCGTATGATGCGAGACTCGACATTCATCGTGGAAATTGAAATAATTTGTCACCCATGGTCCATGATGGAGCAAATTAATTTTTTTACTGCTTAATAAATGTTTTTTTACTGCTTGATAAATGGTGAATGACAGCCAAATTAAGTTTTATAAGTATGAGAATAACACGATATATTGATATTTCAAGGTAACGTCGTTTGAAAAGTGATGGCGGTGATTGAAAAAACGATGTAAAGATAAAACTTCAACGACATATTTGTAGATTTATTTGAAGAACTAAAAATACACATCACATATCGAATTTTCCTAAACACAAAAATATGTATAAATTGTAAGACCTGCAGGTTCGATTCCCCATGGTAGCATTATCATTTGTCTCGTATATGTCACACAATTAATATTTGAAACGCAACTATTATTCGAACTTATGATCGGACATTAGTATGATACTAGTATTGCTTTATTGAAGTACACATCATACTTATGTCCGATCATAAGTTCGAATAATAGTTGTGTTTCAAATATTAATTCTATGACATACACGAGACCAATGTTAATGCTACCAGGTGGAATCGGCCCTGCAGGCCTTGCTATTTATACATGTTTTTTTCTGTTTTGAAAAATTCGATATGTGATGTGTATTTCTTCGTCTTTCAAAGAAATCTACAAATATTTCGTTGCAGTTTTATCTTTACATTGTTTTTTTCAATCACCGCCATCACTTTTCAAACGACGTTACCTTGAAATATCAATATATCATGCTATTCTCATACTTATAAAACTTAATTTGGCTGTCATTCACCATTTATTAAGCAGTAAAAAAATTAATTTGCTCCATAGGTGACAAATTATTACAAGTTTCCCGGTGAATGTCGAGTCTCACATCATACGAATGTAATTTTAGTCGAATAAATATTAGGCGATCTGTCTGCATGGGTTGTACTTTAAGAGACACGTTAAAATTGAAATACCCGAGTAGATGTTGAACTTGTGAATTGATCCTCGGGATGGTGATATTGGTCCCGAGGTGGGGACATTTTTGATACACCTGTCAAGTCGTCAAACGTTACTCGTTATGAAGATCTGAGGACAGAATTATATTTAGCAAATGTAACAAGTTCAACATTTGAAATGCATCTTCAAGATTCGAAAGAATTAAATGATCTTAAATCCAAGAGTGTTTTGATCATTGACCGAGTTCCGATACAATTAATCAATGTTAAAAACAGTCTACTACAAGATTTCAATCACGGTTCGCAGTACTCTGGACAGGATCTCTTTCATCCTACATTTCAGATTCAACCTTACAACTGCTGGCCAACATCTCAAGTGGACGCTTCATTAGTGTAAAATATCATGTTAATCCACACAATACAGGTTCCAGGCCTCGTTATATATAATACACAAAATAGAATGCATTTTCAATAATTAAAGTTAAACAAATTTTATTATTCATTTTTGAATTACATATATCGCTAACTGGCCCTTGATCTGAATTGATCATAATTTGATTAATTATAAGTGTTTGGCATAAATAAGAAAGCAGTAAGTAGACGTGGCACCAAATCCATTATCACAGAAGATCTGCTAGTACCAATGCTTGAACATATATCATGACCCCCTGGTTAAAACTATTCCACTGACCGACATTATTTTATTTAATTCCTTTCCGTTAATCATAGTTATCTATACTCTTCAAGTAGTTTTGGTGTAGCCAAAGTTAAGTACTGTATGTTCCCTGGTGGAGTAAATAGCAAATATTAAATTTTTAAATACTAGTTCACTTTTTCCCAAATACAGTTTTCTGTGTTTCTTACGGGTAACAATCAACAAAGGATTTTAAAACAATATCTTAGTGTGCTTTTTCTAAGCAAGAGTCCCCTAAAGTATTTGGCAAAAGTAGGCGTGGCACTTCCGCATTGGATCACAAGTAACAATAAAAATCATATTTTCACTCCAAAACACAATTTGGAATATTTAACTTTTCCCTAAACTCACGGAAACACTTAGGCATGGTATGTACTTCACATTTTGAAAAGAAAAATAGGATTTAGTGCTCATTATCATGTTCAACTTTTCCAGGGGACATCCTTAGCCTTTCTTTGTCAACCATTGTTGCCATGTCAACTTTATCACCATTGTTGCCATGTCAACTTTATCACCATTGTTGCCATGTCAACTTTATCATCATTCCTGCCATGTCAACTTTATCACCATTGCTGCCACGTCAACTTTATCACCATTGTTGCCATGTCAACTTTATCACCATTGTTGCCATGTCAACTTTATCATCATTGCTGCCACGTCAACTTTATCACCATTGTTGCCATGTCAACTTTATCACCATTGTTGCCATGTCAACTTTATCACCATTGTTGCCATGTCAACTTTATCATCATTGCTGCCACGTCAACTTTATCACCATTGTTGCCATGTCAACTTTATCATCATTGCTGCCATGTCAACTTTATCACCATTGCTGCCATGTCAACGTTATCACCATTGTTGCCATGTCAACTTTATCACCATTGCTGCCATGTCAACGTGTCACCATTGTTGCCATGTCAACTGTATCACCATTGTTGCCATGTCAACTTATCACCATTGTTGCCATGTCAACTTTATCACAATTGCTGTCATGTCAACCTTATCACCATTGTTGCCATGTCAACTTTATCACCATAGCTGCCATGTCAATGTATCACCATTGTTGCCATATAAACTGTATCATCATTGTTGCCATGTCAACTTTATCACCATTGCTGCCATGTCAACTTTATCACCACTGCTGCCATGTCAACGTTATCACCATTGTTGCCATGTCAACGTTATCACCATTGCTGCCATGTCAACTTTATCACCATTGCTGCCATGTCAACTTTATCACCATTGCTGCCATGTCAACTTTATCACCATTGCTGCCATGTCAACTTTATCACCATTGCTGCCATGTCAACGTTATCACCATTGCTGTCATGTCAACCTTATCACCATTGTTGCCATGTCAACTTTATCACCATAGCTGCCATGTCAATGTATCACCATTGTTGCCATATCAACTGTATCATCATTGTTGCCATGTCAACTTTATCACCATTGCTGCCATGTCAACTTTATCACCACTGCTGCCATGTCAACGTTATCACCATTGTTGCCATGTCAACGTTATCACCATTGCTGCCATGTCAACTTTATCACCATTGCTGCCATGTCAACTTTATCACCATTGCTGCCATGTCAACGTTATCACCATTGTTGCCATGTCAACTTTATCACCATTGTTGCCATGTCAACGTTATCACCATTGCTGCCATGTCAACTTTATCACCATTGCTGCCATGTCAACGTTATCACCATTGTTGCCATGTCAACGTTGTCACCATTGCTGACATGTCAACTTCATCACCACTGCTGCCATGTCAACTTTATCACCATTGCTGCCATGTCAACTTTATCACCATTGCTCCATGTCAACGTTATCACCTATCAACATTGTTGACATGGCAACTTTATCACCATTGTTGCCATGTCAACGTTATCACCATTGTTGCCATGTCAACCTTATCACCATTACTGCCATGTCAACTTTATCACCACTGCTGCCATGTCAACGTTATCACCATTGCTGCCATGTCAACGTTATCACCATTGTTGCCATGTCAACTGTATCACCATTGCTGCCATGTCAACGTATCATCATTGCTGCTATGTCAACGTTATCACCATTGTTGCCATGTCAACTTTATCACCATTGCTGCCATGTCAACGTATCACCATTGTTGCCATGTCAACTGTATCACCATTGTTGCCATGTCAACGTTATCACCATTGCTGCCATGTCAACGTTATCACCATTGTTGCCATGTCAACTTTATCACCATTGCTGCCATGTCAACTTTATCACAATTGTTGCCATGTCAACTTTATCACCATTGTTGCCATGTCAACTCTATCATCATTGTTGCCATGTCAACTTTATCACCATTGCTGCCATGTCAACTTTATCACCACTGCTGCCATGTCAACGTTATCACCATTGCTGCCATGTCAACGTTATCACCATTGTTGCCATGTCAACTGTATCACCATTGCTGCCATGTCAACGTTATCACCAGTGTTGCCATGTCCCCATTGTCCCCTGAAGGAGAACCTCGCATTGTGCTGGGGACTTTCAATCCCAATACCAATATGCAGCCAACTTTACCCACTTATACAAATACCATTTTCATGGTTTCAGAAATTGCTGGGACATTTTCGAAATTAATGTGTTTTTACAATATAACAATACGTGCACATTAGAAAATATCTATGTATTTTTATATCTAACTAAATCGTGTAAGTAAACTAAAATGCAAAATGCAATAGTGGCTTGGTTTATGTAGCAGACTATTAGAACTGAAACAGCAAAATACCTCCTCTCATTAATGTCACATTATACATGCTTTTGTCCTAATTTTTCATAATTTTCATTTGAAATTATGAAATCTGAGATGTTTTGACCTTGCTGATATGTGAAGGCTCTTGTCACATAAAGTGCAGTATAAGTCTTTGGCTGTGTGATTGAATATGCCAGTCTTTGTGTTGAAGAGCCTATAGCAATACTGACATTGTAGGGGCTTTAGTCCAGTGTGGGTCAAGCCATGCTCTTCAATGTTTGACTCCTCATCAAGCCTGCTGTTGCAGACCTGCAAGTCAAATGGCACACACTAAGGTCAAGGTCATGACCTCTCAGTGGAACTACTTTTATTTATTATAATTTAATAACAATTAATCATAATTCTAATTAAAAATCAATAGTTTTTGTATTATGAATAAATTGAATTTTTGAAGAAATATGCATTTGTTCGAGGAGGATTGCCTCCCAGAATGCAACATTGATATTCTGACCCATACATGGTATGGTGACCTCTAACCTTATTTTCACATGACAGGTTCCAGAAACATGTCAAGCGTAAAAAAGGTAAACATACCATATTTGGAAAAGAATATCAATACTGCATTCTGGGAGCTATCCTCCTTCCATTTGTTCATGTCTACAATATTGTCTTTTACTCCATCTATTGACAAGATTAGTACAGTTAACACTTTCTTGTGATTTACAGAAATTGTACTTAATATAGAATGCTCTTACATCACAGTATTTGTTATGTATAAGTTGATGATGACTCTCCATGCAGGCTTTAGATGGGAATGTTCTCCCACAAGTGGTGCAGTCACAGTTGGAGGGATCATCTATAAGGATGCTGAAAGTCTGCCCTGGTGCAGTCTGGTGATGGGGGCCCTGGCTGTTATTCTGGTGCTGGGGGCCCTGGGTGTTATTCTGGTGCTGGGGGCCCTGGGTGTTATTCTGGTACGTGTGAGTGTCAGCAGTGAAGGCATTATGGGATAGCACACCTGGATGATAAAAAGATATTGTAAAACATTTGAAATGCAACTTATGCATGGTTTCTAATAATTAGTACAACTGAGTGCTTACCAATCAGATAATATATAGTAGCCACAATTCAAAATCTTATTTTTCTCTTAGAAAATAATATAAGGCCATGAAAACCTGTAGACATTAGTGTAAACATTTTACTATATATGGCTGATCCGCAGAACAAGGATTATCAAGGCATTAACATGACAAAATGTCACCACACTATTATTAGTTCAATCTTAAGTCAGATTTGAATTTTTGAGAACTTGTAGATGATTCTGAAAAAATTGGTCAATTTGAAAAAAGTTGAAAAAAGATCTTTTTGACCTTGAGAAGGTCATTGAAGGTCTGAAGGTCAAATATTTTTTTGACCTTGAGAATGGCATTGAAGGTCAAATCTATAGTTAGATTTGAACTTTTGAGAACTTCCAGATGAATTTGGAAAAAGGTCAATTTGAAGCAAGTTGAAAAAATACCTTTTTTTGACCTAGCTGATCACTGAAGGCTGAAATATAAAGTCAGCTTTAAACCTCCTTGAAAAACTTGTCGATGTTTTTTACAAAAACTGAAGTCAGTCTTAACAAAGAATTTGTTACAGACACCAACCACCAACTGACACCCACCAATTGCCAACCACCAACCGCCGTCACAAAAAAAACGGGGACCATAACAATGTCACCACTTTTTTGTGGTAACATAAAAACAAATGACACAGACCCTATATTATAATATAAATCTAATGCAATTATTACAAAAAATATGTTTCATACAATTTAATTTCCACATCTCCATGAACATGTTTTCTCTTTCACACATAAAGTCACTTTCACAATAACCTGATTAGAATATAAAGTTTGTGTAAAGTGTTTGTGTTGAGACATTATGGACACTACACCCTATGACATTTATCTTGTTGTCTCCTAGAGGGGCTCAATATTTTTGAGACTACAGTGTTCTCATTTGGATATCAATCAGTCTCCATAACTCTGGAAGGTGGAACTCCATCATCAACTGCTAAATCATTTGACGATAATTGACCTCATTCTCTGTGATTGTTGTCGTCTTCATCAAAGAACTTCTTTTTCTGGGGCTATTTGAAGGAGCATTTTTAAGCCTATCCCAAGCCAAAAGACATAGAACAACGTAGGCCAACATCCAAAGAGAAATGCAAAACATTTCACCAGAAATATTATCAAATGTGATGAACAATGTAACATAAGGATGCAGGCTGTCATCGAAATATGAAATAAAAAGTAAAGGGTTAAACAATCAAAAAGGCAATACTGAACTGAAAACTGTGTATTTGGGATAAAACGTACATGCATTAGCTACATGACCATGCAAAAAATGGTGTTGATTGGTTTAGCTGTGCTGTTTATATACTTTTGGGTACATTTTTTGAGACACCCTGTATATATAAAAAGCTGCACAAAGGCTACAAAAGTTCTGGACTGCTTGCTTCTTAATAATGACAATTGTTCATGTTTGGCCTCAACATACAGTCACCTCCTACATATAAATCACTTGGTAATTTATATAAAATATCTCTTTCAAAAGTATATACATTGTCAATTTGGACTCAACCAAGTGTTCACTTTTTATGTCCAGTGTACTTGCCACATATATTCTTTACATTTGATGTAGCTTCAGATGCTTTGCCTTGCTTCGTACTGTGAATGTCTTTTGGCATAACAAACATTTCAAATCCTTTGCTAAATGATTCACCAATCCTGATGGGGCATTGAACAACTTGAAACAATTCTCGCAGTGCACAGGTTTCAATCCAATGTGTTTCATTCCATGACTTTCGACATCTAACTCCTCATCTACTCTAGCATTACATACAGAGCAAAAATGGTTGTGGATTAATAGAGTGTGGCTCTCTAGGCAGGCTTTAGAGGGGAATTCCCTACCACACTGCTGACATGAGCAGATTGTTGTGTCCTGGGTGAATATATCAGATGGTGTACCATATCCAGGTCCTTGCTGGGGGTCTTGAGTTATTCCTGTGGCATGTGGAGTCGTGCCTGTGCCATATGCAGGGTCTTGGCTCATTCCTGTGGTGTATGACAATCCTGTGGCATCTTGGCTCATTACTGAGGAGTATTTGGTATGTAGACCTGCAATACACAAAACAATAATTAAAACATATTGTAATAGGTCCCTGGGAAACCGATTGAGGGGCAAAAGACCTGTGGAGTGAACACTACCAAGAAAACCTGAAAGTATATTTATAAATTAAGAGGCATTTATACAGGAGATTCAGGGGCCATGCAGAAAGGGTTTTTAAGACACGTGTTATACTGTTTTGCAATTCATTCATCTTTTAGTTACATAATGTCGTGTATGTGATAAAGTTACCCAATTACCACATCTATGTAGTCTCTGTCTAGGCTCAAGGCCTTGTGACATTAATGATGGAGAAATAACAAATACACATCTCATTTTTAGTTTTGAATATTTTATTTATTTTGAATTGAAACATCTAAGAACAACATTTGTATACAGGGTAGTCTACAACATCCCAAGCTAGTTATGTTCATGTATACATTTCTTTAAATAGCACTGGGCTCTCCTGCTTGGGCATTTGCAATGAAGACTATGGCATTACTACAATTATTTTGAATGTTTCGAGGAAAATTAAGTTACATAGCAAAGTGTCTTTAAAATAAACCAACCATGGGCATTATTCTATTCTAAAATGAGTGGATTGATCCATGCATTCTGTAAATTAAGTGAAAATGAAAACTGGTCTGGTTTTACACATTTTAGAGCCTGGAAGAGAAGAGGTTAACGGCATTTAGACAACTCGTTATTCTATTCATTGATTAATTAATCTACGAGGGGTGATTCAAGTCTTGGATGCCCTGCTCTCATTTTGTCCGTTTTTAATAAAATTACTTTCCAATAATAAAGATCAATGACCTATAACTACCCTGTGTATTAATTTCATGAAGAAATGATTTATATTATGTTTTTTTGGAACTGTATTTAAAACTCGCAAATCACATTACAACTGTCGATATGGCAAATGCAGGTGCACAACCTAACACCAGTCATTGTATTTTCCAATTTTGCAATCTGAGTCTCATTGGTATTCATCATCTTCGCATATGTGCTTTTCAGCAGACTTTCCATGAATTTGAACATATTTTTGTGCAACTTATACAAAAAGTTGTTAAGATGTTGACCGTTATCATTTTCAAAAGTTTCACGTAATTTCCGAAATAGCAAAGATGGTGTAGGGTGTCCAAGACTTCTGTATATATTATATGGACATATTTGATGTATAGGGTGTCTCAAAAATGTACCCAAAAGTGTATCAACACCATAGACAAACCAATCTATTTTTTCAGACAATTTTTGCATGGTCTTGTAGATAAAAGATCAAAGTTTTTACCCCTATACACAGTTTTTAATTCAGTTTTGCCTTTTTGATACTATAACCCGTTACCTTTTACACCACATATTCAATGTAACCTCATATTTCGATGACAGTCTGTATCCTTACTACTACATTGTTCATCACACTTGATATTTCTGGTGAAATGTTTTGATTTCTGTTCAGATGCTGGTCTTAAGTTGTTCTAGGTCTCTTAGCTTGGGTTTAGCATAAACATGGTCTTTCAAATAGCCTCAGAGAAAAAAGTATGGGCCGTCAAATATGGTGAATAGGGAGGCCCTCACAATGTCTTAGAGCCCCCTTATACAGGGAGGTCAGAGGTTCAAGAAACTGCATTTGTTGGGATTCTAGTGTAGCTTTTGTTGTGTGTATCAATTTGAGAACACTGTGTTATCATTTGGATATCATTTGGTCTCCAGGCTAGCCTGCCTTATTCTGGAAGGTAACTCCTGAATCATTTGCCTATAGTTGACCTGATTATCTGTGTTTGTTCTGCCATCATCATCCTCAAACATCTTTCTCTGTGGCTATTTGAAGGAGTGTTTTAATGCTCATTCCAAGCAAAAAGACCTAGAACAACTTAAGGGCAGCATCCAAAGAGAAATCCAAAACATTCCACCGGAATTACTATCAAATGAGATGAACTACGTAGCAGTAAGGATACAGGCTGTCATCAAAATGATGTTACATCGATTATGTGGTGCAAATGGTAAAGGGTTAAAGCATCAAAAAGACAAGACTGAAATAAAAATGGTGTATTGGGGAGAAAACTTTCATGTTTTGGCTACATGACCATGCAAAAAATGTCTGAAAATATTGATTGGTTTGTCTATGGTGTTGATACACTTTTGGGTACATTTTTTGAGACACCCTGTAAATCTGTTCTACAAATATGCAGTTCAGTTTATTTATATTACAGATAGATATTCATACATTCTCCATTACATAATGATGGTAATCATACATGTACATATTCTATTTTACAATGAAGGCAATCATACAATGATGGTAATTATACATATTCCATTGTATAATGTACATATATTGTACATATCGCATTATACAATGAAGGCAATCATGTAATGATGGTTATACATACATATTCCCTTATATATATAAATGAGGCACAAGTAATCATATTGCATTTTCATTTTATGTTATGTAATCTCAAATGCTTTGATTTGCCAGTAACATTGAATGTTTTATTACATAACAGACACTTCAGATCTTGCGTCACATGTCGCTGTAGGCCAGATTTAGTTGAGAAAACCTTATAACAAAGATCACATTGGAACGGTTTAAGCCCTTTGTGTTTGAGTCCATGGTGCATAATGTCTTCTTCATTATCCAACCTATCGTTGCAATTCTCGCAATATCTGTTATGCACCACTACTGTGTGAGACTCTAGACATGCTGTTGATGGAAACGCAATGCCACAACTGGTACAGAATGTGCTGGTGGTATCAGTGACAATAAAGGAGGATGTTGGGTTGATGGAACTTTCATCAAGTTGGCTGCTTGTGTCAGCGGATGCATCCTGTTGGCTGTTCTCTCCAGTGTGGATCCTCCCCAGTGAGAAATCATCATTGTACTTAAACCCCTGGATATTTCTTCTCATTCCTGAATAAGAAACAAACATAATTAAGTCAAATTTACTTTTTGTCCCATGCATACATGACATACAAAATATTCATGGAAAACCCAAGGAGGATTGGCTCTCAGAGGCTCATCATTCGTTCACTTTATTTTTATTGTCTATTTATGTATAAGGGTTGTTCTTGCTGAAACTTACATGTTAAACATTAATCTATCCATTATATAAAAATATGTCACATTGTGTATAATTACATTTTGGATGATATGGATTCTATAGTTATTATATAATATAATTATCTGTACGACAAACTGGATAAGGACCCCACCTGAACACATTTTAACTTATTTTGGAAAAAATGTTTATATTCTTGCTGAAATGTGATAAAACTCATGCTATCCATTGCATATTGCAAAAATGTCTGAATTCAAAAGAAATTATAGAATAGATTAGATGCAAGTAACAATAATCTTGATTCATTTCACTAAATATTCAAAATTTAGTCAAATCTACTACATGGAAAATTACATCAAGAAATGTGGTTTCAAATTGTTCATAAACTTTGAAAATTTTATCTCCTTTGAAAATGTAATTTCTTAGATACTGTAAATTGCTTTAATTTGATGACTGTTTTAATTGGGCAAATTTGCAGATTGATAAAAACTGCCAAATTAAGCCCGCAAATTCTCAAAAAAATCCTGGGACTCTAATTGAATTTTTTTCAATATTTTGATAGCTCCCAATTTATTTTACATTTAGCTCATATAAAAAGGTAAAATCTGCCAGTGTCACCCAAGAGTAACCTGGCCTAACTAGCATTTCAATATTCATATTTTACTGCTGGGTCAATTCGTCAAATATTGACATATACTTCCATTGTAATATGTGACATCATAATCAAAACACAATTAATTGGTTTTTAATCACCCCTCATCACAATGAATATGGTGTAAATCATTTCCCCTAAGAAAATAACCTCCTCATTTGAGAGAGTACAACTGTTAAAAAGAAATAGTAGTTCTATTTTATGACATGTGACTATGTATTGACCAATCAGGATTAGTGTTACATATTGGGTATATAAAAATAAATAATATAAGTACGGTTTAAGTTCATTAACATCTATTTATTTCCACTGTGTACTCATAAACCAATTACAATGTAAGAGCCTTTGCCATGTACACAGCATGGCTCTACCCAAATTAAGAGTCTTGTGGCACAACACCTTAGATTAAATATGTAACAACTGGATGTACCTTCTTTTATTTAATGCACCTCAAATAAAATTTAGACAATCCTACTGAATATTACAAAATTGAAATTGTTAAATGCTAAAACTGTCACATTTGTAAAATATAATCTAGGTTCATTATTGGTATTATGTTCAATAATAGGTAGAATGCCCTAATTGTCTGAACAAGGCCCTTAAAGGTGCTTGACCCTGTGAGGGCAACTCTCTGTCAACCATCTTTGAAAGGGCATTTCCTACAATAAGGGTATACCATGAAATCACAGATCCAAAGTATACTAGGATGCAATACATTTTTAGATTAAACAGCATTCAAAAGGATATTTTATCATTATAAAATTCTCAATTTATTAGTTCAGAATTTAAACTTTAAATTACAAAAGAGACACAGATTAAGAGTCACATATTGAAATGCTTAAATCGTTTGTTAACAGCTAAGATGTAGCCTCAACTAAAACAGAATATCTTAAATTACAACTCTTGCAATGGCTTAGTGTAATATATGACAATGACTGACACCTAAGTTACAATGTATCAAGCAAGTGAGTATAAATTGAATACCATGTAAGTGTAAAAGGTGTTCATGCATATTCTTTAAAACATTGTTCATTAAAACAAATTGTAATGGTATAGAACTTAAGTATATTACCAAATGTGTACTGGAAATAGAGAAGTTCTTTCAATGCTTCTTACTGGTGAGATTTTGCATGTTTGTGTCTATTTGGAAATGAGACAGTTTTGTGGCATATTTGACATACAACATCTTTAGCTGTGTGAAACTCCAATGCCCTTGCAGTTCCAAATACCTTGAAGCACATTTCACACTGGAATGGTTTTAAGCCTTTGTGCATCAATCCATGAATCTCAATATTTGGCTCTCCATCGAGTCTTTTATGGCACACCTCACAGAACCCTCTGTGAACTACCATTTCATGATATTCAAAACATCCCCTTGATGGGAATTCTTTGTTGCAGCACAGAAACTGTGTCATATCCTCTGTAAATATTCCACTGAATTCAGGAGTACTGGTGGTCTTTGTGTGCTTGGCGGCTGTTGCTAGGTAACTAGATTCTGTAGTCAAGAACATTCTGTTGTCATGGTTACCAGAGTAGGCATATCCACCTGGATCATAAAATCACAGAATTAAAATTGTTTATTTTTTGTTAAGATCTATCTGTTGTACAGAATGCTTGGTTCATAGTGTTAAACATGAAGGTGTTTTCAATTAACATGTTATTTTTTATTGCTGTCTATGTCTTCTTTGCCCACTTTTGGTACTTTTTGTATGCACACATACTATTAAAGTTGTCATCATGAAGCTCACTTGGTTGCTCAGCTGCTAGTTAGAAGAGAGAATGGGTAATATCATACCATATATAGAATGAGACTCTTTTTATGAATAGCACTGATTCACATTGCAACATTTAACAAAGAGAAACTGTGTCCATGTCAATGATAGCTCACTTACACACATAATACAAATAGGTATATACACTGTATATACAGTAAGAACCTGTGTGAGTGGAACAAGATTGGTATCTGAAATAAAGTTCCTACTTGGATTTGAGGTGGTTTGTTTTTCAAAGGTTCATTTTTCATTAAACTAACGGATAACTGTACTTGAAAATGTGTTCCACTTATGTAGCTGTTCCACTCACAGAGGTGTTCCACTTCACAAGTTATACTGTATTTATCTAAAGTCATTCACTCTTTATGTGACTTTGCATGCTTATGTCTGTTGGGAAAGGAGACTGTTACACCACAAATAGAACATCTCACATCGCGACATAAGTGAAAGTTCAACCCAGCTTTTGTTCCTATTACTTTATGACATGTTCCACACTGGAAAGGTTTCACACCAGTATGGAGTAATCCATGATTCATCAAACTCTCCATTTCTTCGCCATCTAATCTTTTATGACAAACTTCGCAGAATTTACGATGAACGACCATTTCGTGATATTCGAAACACCCACGTGATGGGAACTCTATGTTGCAACATATAAACTGTGTGTCATCTTCAGTGAATATGCCATATAGTTCCACAGAGTTTGAGGATGCTGAAGCTTGTGACTTTGATAAGCGTGTACTCCCGTCCCCTTTCTTTTTAGCTGCTTGTTGTTGATGTTGTTGTTGCCAAAATCCAAATCCACCTAAAATTGAAATAAAGAATTATCAAAACTCATCTTGTATGACTTATTTTGTTAATCTACATTACAATACATGATATTATTGCAACAATTATAAAGAGACATACTTTATGTGAAACCATGCATATCTTTCAGAAATAGTGCTAGTAAAACAGATTCATTCAACTATCATTATTTTGCTTAAACCTCAATAAAGGCCATCAGCACAGTGTATTTTTTATCTGTTATTATCTTATTATTATGCAAACATTTTGTTTTTCAAAATATGGCTAACATTCACCACTGAATTCATTTTAATTTTTAGAATTATCTATGAGACAATTTATGAATGTGATATTTATGAATCTGCATTTTCATATTATAACTTCTTATTGAAATATGATAAAGAAAAAAGAAACAAGAAAGAACTAGGCCTATTTAAATTCAGTGATTTGTGATTAAAAAATAAGTTTATTTGTGGATACTCAATAAATAAATTTCTGTGTTTTAAATAATTCAAAATACTACATGCTATTACTTAATCCAAATAACTACTTATAAAAAGATTTAACCAAAGTCTTCATTTTGAATTAATTTGTAAATGAAGTACATACATGGTGTCCGGAAAGTAAAGATACAAATACTCTAATTTTAAGAGATTTAGTTTTTTTGCAATGAAATCGCTACAGATTGTAGAGGAACTACATTACAATACGTGTACCAACTTTTATAACATATAGTCTAAATGTGTTAAAGTTACGGTTGTCATGGTTACGGTGGTGAGGGGTATGCGGAGCAGTTCCAGGATATCGATAAATTGTGATAAATTGCTAAAAAATATAACCATTTGAAATAGTGTTTATTATTGTATTTCTTATCAGTTCTTTGTTTTGTTCAATATTGTATTCTTGCTGCCATAGTATTCTCCTTAGTATAACAATATCATTGATACATATCAGAGCTATGTAATGTCACAAGTATAATCAAAGAAAAAGAGTATATAAGGGCCTAGAAAAAGGGTGCCTGGATTAATAGGAAAGTCAGTAGTGCAACTCCACAGTCAATGCTCCAATGCACAAAGCAAAGAAAACAAATCTTACAATTGAATGTCTTGACATTAACCTTTTTGTACAATGGCCCATATTTCCCTGATAATGTCCTGTTGGACTTCTATATTAATGAATATGTTAAAGCAATTTGTGAGAAGTTCAACATAAAAATGAGACAATGAGCCAATGTTATCAGCAATCTGAGAGACTGACAGCAAACAAAGGTTTTGTCAGGTCTTGAATCTCCGGTCAAAATGCACCAAGAATGTTTAGATAAAGGTAGAAAATACGTAATACTGGATAACAGTAGTAATGTCAAATGATTACATAATCTTACAGTACTAATCCTTTTGCTGTTGTGGTACATAATTTGATGCATAATAGCAACAGACAACGGAGTGTCAAGATGATATGAACAGGAGAAAAGAATTATAAAACATAATTGTGACGCTGCTCCACATACCCGCGACTCCTGCTACCATAACAACCATAACTTTTTTTTATTTTGAAACAATTTGTCATGACAGTTGCAGGATAAATTGTTACAATGTCATTCTACAATCTGTAGCAATTTCATCTCACAACAGGTAAATCTAATGAAATTAGAGCATTTGTATCTTTACTTTCCGGACACCCTGTAGTACTAGCAATACTACTAGTATGTCTAGATGCAAGACTTCTACTGTGGAAAATTGAGCAATTTTCACAAGTACAGTGATCTTCACACCCGTTTCATATCTTCACACTATTGGCTTTCATGTTTACTGCTAGTGGAGTGTTCTTCACACCCGTTTCATATCTTCACACTATTGGCTTTCATGTTTACTGCTAGTGGAGTGTTCTTTACACCCGTTTCACATCTTCACACTATTGGCTTTCATGTTTACTGCTAGTGGAGTGTTCTTCACACCCGTTTCATATCTTCACACTATTGGCTTTTCTGTTTACTGCTATTGGAGTGTTCTTTACACCTGTTTCATATCTCCACACTATTGGCTTTCATGTTTACTGCTAGTTGAGTGTTCTTCACACTCATTTTACATCTTTTCACTCTTGGTTTAGATTTTTACTGCTGTATTAAAACTTAACAACAGTAGTTTATTAGTTAATATCATAATATACCATTTTGCCCTTGAAAGGGAACTACCTTTGAAAATATTCATAGTCAAAATAGTTGATGCTGCAGTTTTTTGGTAAATGGAATTCACTATCTTTTTTTACAAAGAGTTAATTGTCCAAGTGATCCTCATTCTGGTGTTAAGTGGCCTAATGGTCTGTGATACCTTCAATGTATAAAATGCAATTAAGGTTTCCATTTACCAAATTTATTGCTTTCTAATTCTAGTTTATTCATCTCTTTATAACACACCTATTAGTTTTGCTCTATTGCTGATGTAACCTCATGTGTTTAGCTTTGCGAACAATCTGCACCATCTTCCCACATATCAAACACTGTAAATCCTTCATCTTATGGTATGCCAACCCAGCTGCAGTTCCAACCAGCCTATAGCAGAACTCACACTGGAAATCCTTCTCACCAGTGTGTCTCAGTCCATGTTCTTCAACATTTGGTTCATCATCCAGTCTCTGATTGCAGACTTCACAGAATTTATTATGTACAACTGCAGTGTGGAAATCTAGACAGGCCTTGGTTGGGAAGAACTTATGTGGACAAAATATACAATTGTATTCTTTAGTGTCCTCGATAAACATTTGGTTTGGCTCTAGGTTATGTCGACGGTTTTTCTCCAGTGTGGAATTTGTTGAACTGTGTGGTGCAGGCCTGTACAGAGGGAGGAGTCCTGGAGAGGAAAATAAAACAATGTTATTTCTCAGGTTTGAATAATTAATTTGATATCTAATATTGTTTTGACTTTGAATAATACAGTTAAACTCTTTAAGTGGAACAACTTCCAGAGTTCAATGATCAATTGACTCAATGTTAAATGGACCTTTGTAAGTGTAACACATCCCAAGGAATAAAGGTACAAAATGTGTCCCACTTTTATTATACTTTATTATATTATAGTATTTGTGTATAATTCAGTCCGTTTACTTCTTACGGCACCCCTCACCCTGTCCTGCTGTTGAAAATATGGATTTCTATTTCACTTGAGATCAAAAACCTCAGATATGTACTTTTAAACAAAGTGCAAACAAACTGTTCAACTACTACAAGTTATTTATTTCAACATCAAATTATATCATACAGAACCTCTTTTACACAGTGAATGATAGTAACTGTCCCTAAAAACAACATAAGTGCTGCCTCACAGCCAGCAATTCAACGTTTCCATACTCGGAAAAACCTGGGATACCGTCTCCCATCCACTCACCCACCAAGTTGACATAATGTTTTTAGATGCTATGAAAATATCAAGGGTTTAAATGAAGACTTTTGTTGACAATGAGTTCAAATCTAAATAGCCATGATTCGATGGAATATTGTGAGGAAAACTCTGTTAACATGTGATAATATTTTTGAAAATACCCTTCAACTCATTCCAAGTCTACGTTGCCCCTTCAACTTAAAGTTAAAGCTTGAAACTATAGAAAAACCCTCTCATCACTTCACAGTCCTGTGCATTTTAGTATGTTTGGCCTTGACAGATACAGGGACATTTTTCCCACAGATCAAGCATTTCAAGTCCTTCCTTCTATGGAAATACATTGCCCCTTGAGTTGCAAATAACTTATAGCAAGTTCCACACTGGTGAGGTTTTTCTCCAGTATGTTTTAGCATATGTGTCTCTACATTCAACTCCCCATCCAGTCTGTTCTTGCAAACTTCACAGTATCTGTTATGAACAACAGCATTGTGGAAGTCCATACAGCTTTTACTCGGGAACATAATGTCACAACATTGGAAAGTGGTTTGATCCTCAATATAAAGCTGTCCATCTGCAAAGGCCTGGGGTGAACTGTCCCCCAGGGTCTGTTGTCCTCCAGGTATTCCTCTTCCCAGTTCAAAGTGTCCTGATTCCAGAGGTGGTCTGTAGAAACCTGAATGTATAAAATATTGTTCAATCCTAAAATTATGATATTTAAATATAACATTTAAATCTTAAATGGGGAAGTAAGATGGTTGATGTATTTTTCAAAAATTAATTATTTGGTTTCGAATGTCTTGTTTCATTGGGGAAAGAATTGATTGAAGAGTCTACAATGCAAAAATGATGAATATAGAGTATAGAGTATTTTTGTCAACCTTTTAAAAACATTAAGGAAGAAAATGATAGTTTACAGCTATGACATGCATCTGCTTTTGGTGAACCATGTCGGGAAAATCTCTAGTCGCAAAGAAATATAATTCAAAAAGCCATAAACCAATTGATTTTGTCTACTTATTCTATCATATACATTATAGTTATGTATCAATTTATACTTTAAATAAAAATCATTTTTGAATTTTATCATAATTTTTTATTATTTTAAGCAGCAATGCTAAGTGAGAATACAATCAACACACAATCAAATGAAATATACCTAAAGGAATATGTTGATTCCAAGAAGGGCTTTCAATTACATCTGTACATCCATTCATCTATGATTTATGCAAGGCATATTTCTAATGTTACAAAATAACTTCCTGTCCTACGCAATTATTGTTCTTTCATATATATAAAACTGAGAGCCTCATAAGACTTAAACAAATCAAAATACTGATACTCTAGCAATGATACAATAATGTAATAATAAAATAGCTTAATCTCTATTACTCTCAGAGTATTAACTATATGGCTTAAGTATTGATACGCATATCAGTCATACTAGTCATGACTTACTTCTGTAAGATTGTGTTTCTTATTATTAGTTTATTATACAACTTTTAAAACTGGGCATACTGCTGTAAAGAGGTGCTTGTAGTGCACTATTGGGAGATAAGTGGGGAGTTTGGCTCTTACCTTAAATAATAGTAAAATATAGTTAGCACATAAATAAAGTCTAGCTTTGGCCTTTTCAAATAACATTCAATAAAATACTGTTCAGCTACTTTGCCATTGTTTTTTAAGATATTTCAGATTTTGACATATTTCATATTGAACTTTAATGTGAATTTGGAATTTCTACACTACAATTGCAGTATGTGTACATTATACAAAACTATGTCTACATAGTACTTTAGAGTAGTCTCAAACTGAAGACCATTCTAAGATGAGAAGGTAAAAATCAATTTTAAAAATGAAACTTATCCATTTTGTTTGTCTGAAAATTATGCAATTATTTTTCGAGTCTAGCCTAAATGTCTTTATTCAAATGGATATTCACCCATCAATCACCATTGTTATCAAAATAGGTATGAAAGGTCAATCTTTCTAATAAGTCATTAGTGCTTAGATGTCTGGTGGAATCTCATGTTAAGTTCTATTTAAGCCATTAGTGCTTAGATGTCTGGTGGAATCTTTAATGTTTAGTTCTATTTAAGTCATTAGTACTTAGATGTCTGGTGGAATCTCATGTTAAGTTCTATTTAAGCCATTAGTGCTTAGATGTCTAGTGGAATCTTTAATGTTTAGTTCTATTTAAGTCATTAGTACTTAGATGTCTGGTGGAATCTTTTATGTTTAGTTCTATTTGAGTCATAAGTGCTTAGATGTCTGGTGTAATCTCTTATGTTTAGATCTATTTAAGTCATTAATGCTTAGATGTCTGGTAGAATCCCTTATGTTTAGCTCTATTTAAGTCATTAGTGCTTAGATGTCTGGTGGAATCCCTTATGTTTAGCTCTATTTAAGTCATTAGTGCTTAGATGTCAGGTGGAATCTCTTATGTTTAGCTCTATTCACTGAATGCACATTCTTTCCACAAAGTGTACACCTGAAGTCTTTCTTTTGATGATACTGGAGAGCGGGTGCAGTGTTAAACAGTTTCATGCAGTAGGAGCACTGATATGGCTTAACTCCATTGTGTGAAAGACCATGTGCCTTCACTTCTTCTGAACTGAGGTTATCTAACCGCTGTTGGCACGTCTCACAGTACCGGTTATGTATTACCATATTGTGACTCTCCAAGCAAGCTTTACTGGGGAATTCACGGGAACAAGTGGTACAAGCGTATACTGTGCTATCTTCTACAAACTCTGTCTCTCCAGTGTACGCTGGAAGTGTTGAGTAGGCCTGGTTCAATATCCCTGGAATGAGAAATATTTAGCCTTAGTTAGTATCATTTTATTGAATCTATATGTTTTACATTGTTCAATACCAGAATAGAGGAATAATGAAAACTGAATGCAATGAATGAAGGTATTGTATACACATTAAGTTATAAAGGACTTTGATATTTAATTGACATATAAACTATAAGTCATATATAAAATTCAGTAGAATTTGTATGCAGTAAAACCTAAATATCCTGACACCTCTTAATTCCCAACACCTCTCAATGTAAACAATTTTCCTGTCTCAATTTTTAATCTGCCACAGAAACCTCAAAATATAGCAGTTGCAAATCTGAACACTATGACTGCCCTCAGTGGTGTTAGAATGGGACAGGTGTTAATCTACAGGGTGTTTCATAATGACTGTCCCCCCATCGACCACCAATCTGATTAGCTCAACAGTTTTTACAACTTGCTACATATAATCTCTGCAAAAGGTACCCATTTTACCTTTAGGATAGAATCTGAAAGCCACATTTTTTCCAAAATAATCCATGTGCCCTGCAAACAGCTATGATAATTTCATTTTCATTTCATTTGAGTTTCATATCTCACACAGACACCATAGGGCATATACGTGTGGTAGGATAATGTAACTTGATATCCTAAGGTAGAAACAGCTCCCCGTATTAATTTGACAGGAGCTAGTATCTTTAGCTAGTTAGTATCACTCTAGTAATCAACTTCTCTGGTGTACTAGTTAGCTTGAGCTGGCTCCTGTCGCCGCAAGCTGGGATTGAACCCAATCTTGGCATCAGAAGTCCAGAGTGCTAACCTTTACACCACAGAACCGAAGACACTAATCATACCTCAATATACTATTAGCTATAGTAATGTACAACTTCTATCATTTGGAGAATGCTGAGGATATATTTATTATATGAAAGACAAAAGTATTGAATATTTCAAAGAAATGCCCAGAGAGCACTAGATGACACAATTGATTATAATATAGCGATCCGCTCCTCTCTTTAAATCCACCAGGAATAGTAGCCAGAAATCATGCAAATTGAGGAGATAGTGACTATCAAATATAATTTCACAAATTATGTTCCCAAAGGCCAGGCATGCTAATATTTGGCACATACGTCCAGAATTGAATTAGGTTTATTATGCTATATAAATTATGGGGCCATATGATCTAGGATTGCCTGTGGATGGGGGGACGGTCATTATGAAACACCCTGTACATGCCTAATAGAAGACAGAACCATGCTTACAATTAACTACACAAAGTGCAAATTTGAAATTCATCGAAATTTTTCACATACAAAGTGGAAAGTATTAATTTTTTTATAGTATTAGCTGATTATATTAAGTGACAGATTTTCGAGTGAATGTTCTGATCCTTTTGGTACATCCAGTAATGATTCACATATAACAAAAATAAAAATAAAAATATTATGCATTTCTATTCTTAAATCTATTTATTGTAACTTGTAATCAACATTTTATTTAGCTATACGCAACTTAAGACAAAGGCATCAACATGCCAAAATGTCACCACCTAGAGTTATGACAAGTGGTTGCAAAAGAGACAATTTCTTGCATATGTTGACTGCCAAATGCCACCACCTAGAGTTATGACAAGTGGTTGCAAAAGAGACAATTTGTTGCATATGTTGACTGCCAAATGTCACCACCTAGAGTTATGACAAGTGGTTGCAAAAGAGACAATTTGTTGCATATGTTGACTGCCAAATGTCACCACCTAGAGTTATGACAAGTGGTTGCAAAAGAGACAATTTGTTGCA